TAAAACGAGTTTGATTGTATAAGAGCTTTGAAGTTAGGTTTCGACAGCATTTGCGAAGCTGAATTTAAGATTGTAAGGAAAGAACTGAATTCAGTGGGTTATTTGTTGATTGCTCATCTGTTACTTACTCATTATGTGTGCTATCGATTGCATTCGATTCACTAATAATGAAAACTACTTCACTGAATCGGAATTTGCGAAGGTGTTGATGTATGCTTTTTTCCATCGTTTCAAATCTCTTTGATCGGAAGATATCTTCTGACGGTTTCATTTGATCCAGGCCAACACGGAGCTCATTAGAGAGTGCTGCCACCTTAAACTCGAATTCATATTACCCGAAGCACAGCTGTGCCAGTACGACGACATCGCTCAATTCTCGTCTCGCACCGACGTTTCGTTCTGGTGACGATTCAGCAAAACCAATGCAGCAGCACAATCCCGATAATGGTGAGTTGCTTCGATTGATTTGCCCTTAGTTCATTCGCAACTGATAGTTCATTTTCGATCTATGCTGTTCTCGTCGGTGTGCCTCTTCTATGATGTTGTTTCATCGTGATTCTCGCTGAATTCATTTGCATTCATGTCATGATCAGTTTGAATTTAAATGATACGATTAGAGTCGACCAAATTGAACGGTGCACATTCTCTGTGTTGGTTTTCATTTTAGTCGTCTATGTTCCTACCTCACTTCAGTATGTCATTGAACACGATGTTCTTTTTAAGAACCATATCGAGCCGCTTAAAATGTCGAGACGTTTTGTTGACGATTATGATCGATTAAATGTGCTTCTATCTGTTTGAGTTGATAAAATGCCATATCTCACAACTTTTTCGGTTGCCATAACAATTCTCAAGTGTATCGCTGCCTGATTTACATTTTCATTCCTCTTTGTGGATTATTTATTTAATCGATGTGTTCATCGGCTTATAATAATTCATCGAATGTATACTTTTTATCGGAAGCAGAATGAATCATTGTTCTAAAATATCGATAAAATCATTCCTCACTATCAAAAACGATATCATTCTATCATTTTTTAAACGTTTCGTCACACTCTCTGATAAATACTGTTTTCGTGTTGGGTTTTTCTCTGAAGCCTTTCAGTTCATTCAACTCACCTATTTTATCATTTTCATTTTAATCGGAACAGAATTCAACTTCTCAATTGGATCGTCATCCTTTTTATGACGTCAAGTTTTTCTGCATTCGTTTGATTGATTCATATATNTTTACGTTTAATCACTTTTAACGTTTATGATCAGATACTTGTCATCCACAAAGCGTTGAATTATACTTCATATGAGTGTAGCGATTAGAGCTTGACTAGAGAACCGGTTGAATTATTTATTTTGCAAATCCGAATGAGTATTGGTTCGGCGATTTTAGATGGTTTAGCTGCACAACATATGAGGTTCGATTTGTTGGTGTTGATCAATCAATACAAATACAAATACCAATAAATAGCATAATACTCGTTTGGCGAGTACCGACCAATCAATACAACTCGCCAATTACGATTCATTGTGAACAAACCGGAATTGCGTTGAATTATTTGAGATTTTCATTCGTTGTTGATTGGATCGTTTACTTCTTTGTTTTTTAGCATCTTTTTTTTTCAACGTTCCCGATCTCTTGAAATTCGTGTCACCTATCCGATTTATGGAAGTGTTCAGTTCCGAGGCTCGTTTCGTTGGTTTATTCTTGATGGCACATCAAAATATTTATTTAGCGTATTCACAGAACTTTCATTGGCTGTTGGGTATATCTTATAATCTCGAATCGCAGTGAATTGAACCTTCGAATCGAACACTGTCGAGCAGTCTGTTTCGATCCATTGTTTTTTTAAGTAAGACAGAAGATTTATTAACGTTATCTGCAAAGTACAAACAACTAGATGAACCTCTATGAGTCTATACAAAACAAGATTGTTTATGATGAACTCAAGTCATTTCACGTGAATCTATCACATCATAACACGTTCACATTATTCACCATTCACAACAATATGCTTGATTCACGCTCACGATCACCCATGCTTGTTGTGTTATTTTTTGTTTATATTAAACACAATCCCAGTTCATTTTATGTAAATACAAGCCTCTTCTATATCAGCACATTGCAGTGTTTTTAATGCATCTTGTAGCTACAAACTCTATCACACCAAAAACCTCAGTCTTGTTTAGGTAGCATCCATTCATCTGCTTGCTTGAACTCGAATGCTTTGCTTGAGCTTTTTGTTCATAATGTGGTAAGTATGATACGCCAGACCAAGTCCTCTTCACCTTCCGTCATAAAATCGGACTAGAATTTAGTGTCTCCTTGTTTATGTGGATTTAAGTATGCGCAGTTTACGTTTTTAGATGTGCGTCTATAAAACAACATTGAATCAGTCATCTTTGGATGTACGTCTCGTTTGCGCAATAATGCATTGATTATTGTTATGAGTTGGGGATAAGTCAAAGTGATCTATAAGTTAAGTGAGGACACAACGTAGTAAAGGCAGCTGCGCGGATATTTCATTGAAGGAATACAATTAACGACCCCAAGTTTACTTTGCGCTAACAAACACTCTGTATTAATGATGCTCTGTTATTTCGCATATCATCATCGTTAAGCTTCATCGACGCACAACCTCTAATTAAGCACTAATTCTTGGTAACTGCATCTATATGAAAGCAATAACTTCATTTCAGTGTTTATTGAAACTTCCGTCATTCAGAGTCCTAATTATAGTGCAACGTGACCCTCAAAATAACATTAGCTTCACTGTTTTAATCAACTCGAATTTCGAACCTGCAACTGGTTCAAAGACTTTGTTGGTATTATAACTATGCGACTGTGCTTCATTGTTCTAGTTTATTCGTATTTTGCATTTCCACGTGCAATCAATGACGGTGGGAAGGATCGTTCAAGCAGACAACGTTTAAACACACGTCAACAATCACCAATGTTTTTAATGAGATTAGAAAATTTCGTCGAATAATGACAAATGATTCAAAAGGTTCGATATTTTTGTTATTTAAATGGTATACGATTTTGAGAATCTGATAATGTCGGTAATTTTAAGCAATATTTTTCAACGTTATCGTTTAACATTATCATTTTTCCGTCACCGCCTACAACCGACATATGTAGTCGCGATTTCCGCTCGTAAACTGAGTTGTGCATGTATAAAAGTTTTGGCTGTATTCTCATATTTGTTTCGTTGGAAGCGCAGCTGTGTAATATATCCAGTTCATAATATTAAATTTGAATTGAAATA